TGGATCATCAATGTGGTTGAAACGGATTTGATCCAATGAAGCAAATCGATTAAAATTCAAAAACATAACGCACGATTCGATGAAATTAAGAGAGATCATAGAGAGAGACTCACCAAAAATGCTTCAATTGTGACAAAAGCTGCCAAACCGAGAATCGTTCTTCAAAAAATCACATTGATCTTGAAGACCCGCTCTGATACCAATTGTAGTGACATAAGAACATGGTTTGGCATGCGGAATTAAAGATTGCACAATGGACATGGTGATTTGGGTGTTCAAGAGATGTATTGATTGTATATGGTGTTACACAAAAAGGATCTAGATCTAGACTACATAAATAACACACACTTACACACTCACTTTTACATCTCTCAAGCATACCTCTACAAGTGGTATGAACCCACTATTTATAGAGGTGTGTACATGTCTCTCTCTCACTCTCTATCTCTCATGTGTCATAAGGCTAATACTCCACATGCAAGTGGGTTTTACAAAAGTCAAACATTACACAGTCATTCAAGGAAACCTTTGTACCCGAACATTACTGATGCAAGACACGTTGATGGCGTCAATCTCTACCTTTCATAGTACTGGGATTATCGTTTCAGATTCTTCCAAGTTTTCTTTCATTGGTTCAATTCCAGAAGCAATGTTTAGAGATGTGCCACCTTCTAGCAAAATATTAGAGGGGTACAGGAAATTGACTCCATCTGGACCTTGTCAATTAACTGAAGAAATGCAAGTTATCATAGCTGAGGATGACAAACCCAAAAAAAGGGGGACAAAAAGGTTCAAAGAAGGGAGAAAAGAAAAACGACTGATAAGGAAGGGCTATCTGCAACTACGAAACCTCCTTCCAAGAGAAAGGAACCAACGGGAACTTCTGCTCCTGCTCCCAAAAGGTGAAAGCAACCTGTACGCAAGCGAAAGTCTCCCACTCCAAGTGAAAGCGGAAGTTCGGACTCTAAGACACATTCAGACATTCGCATAGAGGAGGATGATACTGTTCGCAACAAGGATGATAAAGTTCACAATGAAGAAGAGACATTAAATCCTAAGGTAACTCAAACTCTTAATGATTCTGTTCCTTCTCCTCCTCCTTCTCCTAAAACCACTTCTATCCCAACAACTATTGCACCATGCCCTCCACCAGTCTCTTCGCAGCAACAAACTAGCATTCCTCTTTCTACCCCACTATTCACTGATGCTACAATCCCATTTTCTACCTATATCGAACCTCCTGTTTCGGTCAACGTATCTGATACGGGAGCTAAAACTTCAGGTTTCTCGACCCATGTTTCACCTTCTATTTCCCCTCTTAACCGAGATGATCCTGATAAGGTCTTTGGCGATAAAGACGAAGATCTTGGGGGATTCACTTACAGTCCTTTTCAAATACAAACTGATAGTGAAGATGATGTGTCTGTTACGAAAGGGAAACTTCAGTCCCTACATGAAAAGATTGACCAACTGATTCTCTCTTCCAAGGAGTCATATTCTGACACACACGCTAAAGCAGCACTTGAGTCTCTGTTTGAACGAATCATGAAGGAGCATTCTGCCAATGCTGAAAAGATGAATAAAGGAGTTGCTGATTCTACTGAAGCTTGCAAGACAACGACCGAAAAAGTTGATAAACTAATTTCTGATACTACTACCTTCGTGGAGAATTTCCAAACCACCTTTAACTCAAATACCACGGCGGCCAATGAATCTCTAAAGAGTCTGGGTTCTCTCTTTAAATCTGAGAAGGCTAAATTGCAAGAAATTCGTAATGATATGAAAACTGATCTGAAGCATTTCAAACCTCCATCTCCTCTCAAATTTCCAAGCTTCAAATCGAACTTGAAAACAAGAGTAAAATCAAGGACTCTTTTTCCCTTAAGACGGAAGAAGTAAAGGTGTTAAGTGCCAAACTGGAAGCTTCAGAGAAACATGTCAATGATTTGTTATCTGAGAGAGCTGTCTTGCGAAGCTGTATTATAGATGTTACAAGCATGCTCTCAGATATCCTTGAGACCAGGCACTCAATGCTCACCATCACAGTACGCAAGCATCTTCTTGAGAAAGTGAGACCCGTTTTTTCCATGCTTCACAGGCTGGAGGTAGTTCTGGAATCCCGCTTCATTCCGAAACAATGGGGAGAAAGTGCTTCAAGAAAAGAAGAACCCAAAGCTCCAATTAAACATGTTGCTCCAGTTAAACCGGTTGTCAAGAAAGAACCTAAGAACAAGGAAAAATTGTTTAGGGAAGAGGCTATCATCGATAACAGTGAAGACGAAGAAGAGCTGGATGAAAACGAGCTTAAAACGCGAAAGGCTCGTGAAGCCGAAATGGGTGAGAACCCATGAATCATCCGAGAGGCTGAAGAAAAAGAAAGAGCTGAGAAAGCGGCTCAGGCCACTCTTCAAAGCAAAAAGCTTTTATTTCCCAAGTGGACCTTGAAGCGAATCCAGAATGATGCTGTTGATTTACCTAGCCAGTATTGGTTAGAGCCAATTGTGTCGTTTGATCTTCAAAACACACAAGATCCGCAATTGGATCTACCAATTACTCCAAAGGCTTTCAGGTTTCGTGCTTTTGTGAAAGTTGTGAATGTTCCAATCACAGATAGCGGGGCTGATCACATGTTGTTCTCTTTTTATCTGAATCATATGAAGTTTCAGTATAAAATATGGTCTTTAAGCAAAATAACTGGTGTGAAAGTCACAGGACCAATCGAGACTGATAGCTTTCCAAACACAAAGTTCAAAGTGGTAAGAGGTTCAGCCAGCCAGTGCTACGAATTTACACTCACACACTTACCTTGTCTTAACCCCAATGATTGGTTCGTTCTTTACAACATGTTGTTGAAAGATAAAGAAAAATACGAACCTGTCATGTCTCATCTCCAGTTAATAATAAAGTCGTACATTCTAGAGATTGCGGAAATGGACGTAGACGTAGTCGCGGTGTTGCGAAAGTAGCCTTCTGCTGTTCGTAAGGAGTCTCCAATGGACTTTGAAAAGCTGAAGCTATGGAAGATTTACACTAAGGAATGGTATGTGGTGTATCAAGCTAGGGAACGAACCGGTACAGACTTTTCCAGGGGATGTTTCTTCTTTTCTGACAAGATTTTGTACACTACGTCCTTTCTTGAGGATATATTGGACTTGGTGAATAAATTCGAGGGCAACAATAAGGATAACCTCAAATGCTTTTCTGATATGATTATGTGGTACATGCAAATTCGATAGGCAATTTTTGGCATCATTCCAAAAGTTTACGAAGTGCAGAAGCGAATTCAAGGCTAATGGTTTCGGGGCCTGAATTGACGCAAATGGGGAGATTGTTAGGTATTAGATGTTGTGTCATTGGGCTTTTTGTTTAGTCTTTGTGTAAACGAGTTGGGCCTGTCCACTCGTATTTATTTCTAGGGTTAGAGTATTTAAGATGCATGCATGCATCGTATTTTGGTTAGCTGTTGATCACTACGCTGTAACTCTAATCACGCCTCTACAGTAGCAATTCTTCATAGAGTTCTTCTGAGGCGTGACACTTAATCATTCGACATTCTTTGAATCATCATTGTGTTCTTCTTTTACTTGTTTTGAATCTAAAAGATCTTTAACGATTTTAATCCTAACAAAGTGCTCCATGTTAACTTCAAGTGCTCCATGTAAACTGCATATGCTTCAACATCTGATTCTTAAGTCACTTGTTGAATCACCAGGATCTTTCCAACCTGAAACATTCTGATAATGGTTGTTAGAAAATGTAAATCAATACTCAACTTATTTCAAGTGACAATCACATACAAGTATTTCCAACAGTTTCCCCCTATGTGATGGTTACCAAAATTAGGAGTTTTAAAAAATGTGTAAAAGGAAAAATATTGATTTTACATTTTCTCCCTCTATTGAAGTAGATACACTAAAAAACAATTTAAAAACTATTTGAGAAAATGTGATCCTCGAAGCAAACAGATTTTGTTAAAGACAATTTTAACTGTCAATTTGACAATTGTGAAGAAAAAAATTTAGAATTGAATTTAAGAAAAAAATGTTCGAATTTGCACGATCTAGATAAAAAAATTGTTTTGTCAAGATAGGAAAGTAAAGTGACAGATAGGAATAACATGCAAACTCGTGTTGTGTTTAACGTAGGCCTGAAGTTTGAAGAAAGATTAAGTGTTGAATAAGAGTGAATGACTTGATCTTTTTCTACAAACTGAAAAATAAATAAAAACTTTGATATTTTGCTAAATCATATAAACGAGTGTTATGCTAAAACAAATATGCTAAGTCCTAACCTTAAAAGACTGTAACATATCAAAAAAAATTATCATAAAAGATATTTTTGAAATATGTTTTGAGAGAGAAAAAAAAGGTTTGTAGATATCTCTTGAATAACAGATAAACACTAAAAATCCAAAAAAAAATCTTTAAAATTTGAATAGGAATAAGAGATAAGGTTTGTTGGTTTTAAGTTCAAGAGATAGCAATTAAAGCTAGAATAAATAAAACAAATAAAAATGATTTTTTTAATAAAAAAATGTACATGGGTGATATAAGTGAAAAAATAAATTTGTATGACACATGCAATCAGCTGTGAGTTTCTTTTTGTTATCCTTTTGTGACACTAAGACTGTCACAAATAAAGGCCTTGTTCTTATGTTCAAGAGTCACAAAAAAACTTCAAGTGTCACAAAACACTTTGTGAGTTCTTTATTTCTTCACAACATGTTGCTGGGTTTCTCTTGGTGGTTCATTGAGATAGATGCTTGGGTGCTGGAGATATAAGGCATTGGGTACTAGACATCAAGCGATGGGGTTCATGCTTATATGTGGGTTATTGACGATGCTGCATCAGATTTACCCTATAGTGCGATGCCAATGAGGTAATCGAAGGTACATGAAAGACTAGTATACATGAGTTAGGCTTCAATGATCGCTTCCTCATAATGCCTTTTAACCAAGAGGTGTTGAGCCAAAAAGAAATGTCGAAATCCATGCATAAATTTAAACATCGACAACTATTGCACATGAACAATTTTTTATATCCAACATGTACACACCGCCTTCTGTTGGAGTAGTTAGTTTCAATAGCTGATGGAACTTTTTGACTCTAAGGCACTTACTCACCTTAAGTGTCATATCATAAGGAATCAACTCTTCAATTCGTTTGAACAGAGAGGAGTTTTGATGTTCCTGACAACCATTGATCAAGCCAACCAAAGCACTTGCATGCCATTTCAATGGTATCGATGCAATGATACTTAAAGCTTTTCTTAATCGTGCAACCCTTATTAGAATACTAATGATACACAAATAATGCACTAAAACAGGTTTGACACACTTCTGTTCCATGAACTCGTACAAATAGCAGTACCCTTCTTCCATTAGCCCCAAATTTTCACAGTAATTGAGAACACAGATAAAAGTCAAAGAATCAAGATCTTCCCCTTTTTTCAACATTTGTTTTTAAACAAGAACAACGAGTTTCCAAAAAGGCCATGAAACGCATATCCACCTATCATGATATTCCACGTTAAAGCATGATAAGTCGTACCTAAAAACACCTTTTCAGCAACATTAATGTCACCACTCCTTGTGTACCTGTTAATCAAGGCACTATTGACATTCTTATGATCCTTGAATCCAGTCTTATCTGTAAGTGCATGTAGCGAACTTCCGTATCTCATAGATAATATTTTCGCGATCGTATATAAGGATTATATGATCACAGAAAATACGATTTTTTCCAGATTTACCCCTAAATGATGTACGAAGCTATTTTCAACATTTTCAAGACTTCGGGACAAAAATGTGATCGCATAAGGTGTTTATGCAATCACGGATTTTAGTTTTTTTTTCTTTAGATGACTTCTAGATGACTTATTTCGACCCTTGAAAACTTTGATGCATTTATCCGATCACAGAAAAAATTACGATCACTTATACGATTACATCTTTGCCTTATGTGATCGCATATTTTGCTTTTTTCACATACATGAAAGTCGTTAGAAATTTAGTCTATTTTTCAGAACAGGGGGTCAAAGTTACGAGTCATGAGATATTGGTTAAAATAATAACAGGGGGTCAAAGCTGCTAGCAACATCCTTTAGGCTTTAGATTGTGGCAATTTGTCTTTGTATGATCAATTAGATCGAATTTTTCTTGAACAAAACATCCTCCAATAATTCCTCATTATCCTTCATAAATTCCAATCTCCAATTAACTTCAATGCTTCATCAAACGCATCCAAAGATGCTCGTAAAGTACTACTCCACTCGAACCATCTGAAAACAACACAAAAATGCTAGCAGTACGGGAATTCTGATAAAATACATGAGTTGAACATTATTTAAACAAATGACCTGAAAATGTACAAATTATGATGCAAAATGCTAATAAAAACTAACCTAAAAGATTGTGACGTCCCATACTTTAAGGCCAGAAAAAGACTGATTTGTTTATGCTTATTTAAAAATTAGAGTATCCTTTTAAAGAATAATATTACGAAATTTGTTCCCAAAAAACATGATAATGATAGTATCAAAGAATTTCCGAAGAAATGTGTTTAATTTATATTAAAACATTGGGATATCATCATAAATATAGCAATTAAAGCATAACGAAATATAACAAGCCTTACAGTAATTAAACTAGTGGCGTAATACACCTTTAATCTTTTAGCAAAATGTATCTTTAATATCGCTACCTATGATACAATAAACTGAGTGGGTCAAGTTGGGAAACCTGGTGAGTACATAGGGTTTTCAACCCATAGTAATCTAATTAATATGTTTTATAATCAAACAATTAACCCAATTTCCCATCCCCATTATATTCTTTTATTCTTAAGGATGTTCCCTAAGGATCATCTATCATGACAATAATACTTCAGGGATTCCTCCATGATATGTGTTAGTAGGTTTTTCTTCTATATTTCTTCGTAAGGATTTTTCCTAAGGAATAGGAACGAAGTCCATCACTGTCATGGTTTTAGTAGGCATTAAGTCCATAACTGCCAGTGTTTATCTATTACACACTAAGTCCATAGCTGCCAGTGTTCATATATAGGCACAAAGTCCATAGCCGCCAGTGTTTATCAAATACGCACCAAGTCCATCGCTTCTACGTTTTATCTTCTTTATTCACAATATTATTTTAGGGAGTCCACTCACAATACATGTCAATGGGTTTTTAGAGTACTTTTGATGAACACTTAGTTCAAAAACACCTACAGGTTGCGAGCCTGTCAGCGTTCCACTGGACTGTCTAAAATACTCAATGGAAGTCATCTATACTCTGCTAGATAACGTCATCTTTAAAGTCAAGGCCTCTCAACATTTATTTCATCATTCATCTTTCATCTTTCATCTCTCATCATCTACATCATCTTTCATCTCTCATCATCTACATCATCTTTCATATACCCACCTTTACCCAGTATATTTATAGGTATAAAAATACATATACAACTTAAATAAAGTAAAACATATATAAATCGTTCATGTAGCATAGATATCAGGAACACAGATAATAGGCACATATAGCATGTTTTTATATTAAATACTTCATATCTATGTGTAAGATGAAAGTAACTTTTCACTCACTTGTTAAAGTGATGACTTGAAACTCGGAAAGCGCTTTGCTTCTAGCAACTGTCTTTTCCTTCGATGTAACCTACTATTATTACAAATGAGTATTAGTCTAATATCTATTGCTACTAATTATTAGTCTATATTCATCATTAATTCAAATTCTATTGATCTATAGATGATAAGGGACAACCAGGTATGATCATATCGGAGGTAGGGTCTGTTTTGTATATAGAGTGTACAGTTTGGAAAGCCCATTTTAAACACCTCACTAAATCTAGCCTTGTCATCGTCCTCATAAGTAGATCAATCAGTGTAACAACTTGGAAACACTGATAAATCTTGTTTATATGTTCATAATAATGATAATGAATTTAAACATAAGTTACACTTAAAGCGTAATATGTCTAGCTCAACTTACAGGATTTCTAACAAAAACTTAGAACTTTGTGGTAAGAACTTCGTCGCTGAATCTTTTTTTTCTAAAAAAATTCTTGTAGTGCTTCATTGCTCACCTTACTATATTAAAACTATAGAAAGAGAAGTCGAATCACAAGGGACAGAAAATGCTCGGGGATAAGAAGAGAACGATTCTTGAACCAAGAGAATGGTGCAAGAAATATGAGAGCCTAGAGCCTCATCTTTATAGTAATTGAATTTTCAAAAAGTACCATTTATATTTAATTAAACGACCTTATAGTTATTTAAATGACCAAACGCCTATTTATAATACTATTTTAAATAGATTTAATGATATTTGTACTAAAATGATGTCGAAAGTATTCAGTATTACTATTATTACCGCATCGTCGATACCTTTCTAATGATATATATATATATATATATATATATATATATATATATATATATATATATATATATATATATATATATATATACATGTATATGATTTATACTTTATTTTAATACATGAATATGCTAATATAAATTGTAACTTGTTCATACGATCTCCATTTTTGATGTTCTTTATATCCACGCGTAGCTATCGATGAGATCTACAACTTTTGTTTAGTCTCCTTTCGCTAATTTTGACTTTATTTTTAAAGTTATATTTTAACAGGCTTAGACTGTTAAACTCCATTAAAAATTTATAACTTTGTCATCCGGCGTCCGTTTTCGACTATCCTTTTATCGTTGAACTCCTATTAATGAGATCTTTAATTCTCGTTTTGATTGTTTCTGCTAAATATCGACCGATCTAAAATTCGAATTCTGAGTTGTATAACGTTATGTTGAATATTAGAAAAATCGTAACTTTGTCATCCACGTATGTTTTCAACTGTCTTTTTATACTGTAGAACTGAATGTTTTAGAACTGTATGTTTTCAAATGTATGTTGCATTCTAAAATTCGACGTCCGTTATGATGTAGAACTGTATGTTTTGGAGTCAACTTATACATTTGAGTTGACTCTAAAAACCACGCGGCTATCTCATACTCTACTCGAGGAGTAAGAGCTGAGTGTGAAAACCCTAATTTTTAGGGTTTGCACCCTATTTGAAGGACCTTAAGTCCTTTACCCCGCCTCCCTCATCACTTTATCACCCTAAGAGAAACCATAATCGAGCCGTTATCATCTGTGTGTGAGAGAGAGAGAGGTTAAGAGTGTGTGTTTTAGTGCATTCTTTGATGGAGCTTGAAGAGTAGAGGGCCTGGAACGAGAAGGAGTCTTTGGATCCGACATTTATTCAGTGGTAGAAGCCCTTTGAAGGTAAAAAGGCATTACCTTGACCATTTTTTATTAGATCTCTCCACTAGTGAGTTTATGGCCATTTCTATCTTCTCTTTGAGTCATTTAGTTGTTTGAGCATGCCTTGAAGATGAGACTTCAGATCTGGACAATACTAAGTCCCTTGGGCCTAAAGATTTAAGCTTTGACAAGCTTTAGCCAAATTCCATACCCAAAACCCTTTGTTGAGCTTTGGTTTGGAAAACTTAGCCCTAGATGTCATGCATGGACGTAAAGCTTGCAGCTTTACATGGTATTTCAGCCTTAGAAGGCTAGATCTAGAGTTTAGGGCCTTAGCCTTGCTTAAAGACGTATGGATGAGAGAATGACTTGAACGAACTCGACGCGTTGATGAGCCAACTCGACGAGTTGGTTAGGGTCTTCCCCGATAGTCTGGACGCATTACAAACTCGGCGAGTTGGTGAGACAACTTGGCGAGTTGAGTTGGATTTTCCTGATTTTTCAGAGAAACGAAGGAACTCGACAAGTCACATAGATGTACTCGATGAGGTGGGTGAACATGGACATTTGAATCGAGTGTTGACTTTTAGGGTTTGGTCAAGTTAGATTATGGAGACCATGGAGGGGTAAAATGGTCTTTCACGCTTTCTGAGAGTTCGAAAAGGGGTTAGATTAACATCTTTGGAGTGGTTGTTAGAAATTGTTAATTAGAGATGATTATGACATGTGGGCGGAGTCTAGACCGATCGTTGAGTACGAGACCTACTTGCTTACTTACGAAGTGAGTCTTCTCACTATACTTACCTAAGTGGTAATACTGTGGGACCAGAATGTTAGGATATTAATCCTTGAATGATCGATTAGATTTAAAATAGTTTAAGAACAAGAACACTACAATGGATCAAAATATGCTTAATGATTATAAGGCACAGCCTCAGAAGAACTCGATAAAGAATTGCTATTGTAGAGGTGTGTTTAGGGTTACATGCATATTTCCAAGATTACAAAAAACAGTGCATGCATGCACCTTAAATACTATAACCCTAATTAATAAAGACGGGTGGACAAGCCCAAGCCCGTTTACATAAATGGACTAGATAATAAAATACAATGACGCAACACTAAATCCCAACAATCGCCCCCTCTGCGTCAATTGATGC